GAGGGGGAGGGTGGGTATGTCGTACGGGTGGTGTAGAGGTCATAGGGAAGGCATTATGTGACTTTCACCTCTACGGCGCGTATACTTGCCGCGCTATGGTCATGGGGGGCTCGGCGTGGTCGCCAGGGTGCCGTGGTGTGTGTTGTTAACCTTGCGGAGGCGTCAGTGGCAGCAGCGGCGTCGTTTTGGCGTTCAGACGGCTGCGTTCGCGGCCGTGCGTCGATTGGCAAGCAAAGATGGCCGAAATCCAACGATTGAACTGGACAATGACGAAATGAACGAGTGATAATCGAGTGACAAATAATGGAACAAATGACCAAAAAAATGGTGGCCCAGCCATTGGAAGGAATAATTTGCAATTCCGGGCCGTACGCCGAACGTGGCCTTCTGCGCGCGGAGAGGCACCCCAGCACCACCAGCAGACCCCTGCGGCAGCGACGAGGCACACCACGGCACCCTGACGACCACACCAACGCCCCCCCATGGCCACAGCGCGGCAAGTATACGCGCCGTAGAGGTGAAAGTCACACAATGCCTTCCCTATGACCTCTACACCACCCGTACGACACACCCACCCTCCCCCCTCCCCCAACCGGCTTTTCCGGTACCCATGCTGTGCTGCACGGACACGAGGCCGTCGTCTCCCTCCTTGCCTGCGCCCACCCGCAGCAGTAGAAAGCCGGTCATTCTTTGCTGTGACGACACACCCCCCCCGCACCCTCATCACCCTCCACCACAGTCCATCCACAAGCCACAGTCCTACCCCATGGGCGTCCTCTGGGTGCCTGGTCCCTTCTCCGTCACCATTGCCTCCTCCTCACTCCTGCCCTCCACCCATGGCCTCGCTTCCCCGCCATGCCACACACCATAGGGCAATAATCTTCACACCCCAACTCGCCAACACCTCACTCGGTTACAGAGCATGTACGTGGTGTGGATGTGGGGGTGGTAGTGATGGTGGATGCCATGGTAGTCGGCCATGTTCCTCCCTCCATGTGCGTCACGGCATGCGCCTCTTTCCTTGGTTGTGGTCTCCTCGACCATGGTCATGGTTGTGGTGGCCGGTGTGTACACACCAAGTGGCTGCAGAACATGCAGTCAGTCGAAACTGGCCGTTTTTTTGCACTTTGCTATGTGTGCCCTTGCACTTTTGCGCTCGGGGGCCGTACGACTGCGGGCTGAGAGTCCGGCGGTGCGGCAAGTTTTCACACTGAAAATTCTCCGCACAGGGCCGGTTGATTTTTTTCCCTCAAACCCCCCCTCATCCTCACTCACCGTCCCTCAACCTCTCACCCACCTCCAGATCAAAGATGGTCAACTCGAAGCGCGGACAGGGCAACGCCTCGGATTCACGTCCTTTCAAGCGCGCGCTTGTGCCGCTCACTCAGGGCGACGAGGGCTTGATGTACAAGGAGAAGCTAAAGGCGCGCCTCGGAAAGGACTCTGTCCCACTCGCTGCTGCCCACGCACGTTGCTTGCAACTGGCCAAAGACAACACCGGCTGTGACTGGCCCCTTTCCAAGGGCGCTTTCAAGGACTTTGTGCGCGAGGCCTACGATGGTTACACTGATTTCAGTGGCCTGGAAGAGGCCGTGCTTGCTCTCGAGGTCGGCGTGGTCGACATGGGCGTCCTCGCCTTGAAGATCTGTGACAAGCATCACCGAGCGACCAGGACCGGCGTTGACAGGGCCGCCAAGAAGCAGGACATTACTCCGAAGGACCTCTCTGCTTTGCGTGCCAAGATCGAGGCCAGCGTCAAGGCCGATTATGACCAGCATGACGCCGACGAGTGCGTTGCGCGCCTCAACGCCAAGCATGACGCTCTTGTCGAGCGTTTCCTTGCCGCCATGGAGTTCGCCGACATGGACATTGCCGACATGGACATCGCTGCGCCATCCGTCACACCCGCCCCACCTCCTTACACCCCCGCACCCCGCTGCAGCACCTGCCGCCCGCGGAAGCGTCGCTGCTACGGGCAGTAAAGCCATGACCCAGCCATTCCTTCTCGAACATCGACTATTTGTTCTCGGACGTTCCACACCTGACTCGGCCATGTCAGCCCCCCCACCACCACCGCCACCACCGCCAGGCCCAGGCCCAGGCCCAGCCTCCGCCACGTCCACGCGTCCCACCTCTGGCCCCCCACCCCCACCCCCACCCGGACCGCCTGATGGGGTCATCAAGGCCACGTACCGCCCACCGACGGCATCCGAGCCAACTGCCTCTCCGCATGTCGCTGCCGTCAGCCTCGCACCGGCAGCCATTGCCCCGCAAGAGTGGTCATGGGAATCAGTGAGCGCAAGCAAGACGCTCAATGATGCCGGCAGTGTTCTGCTGGTTGTCAATCACGCCGATCAGGCAGTTGTCGTCAAATCGGCAACCACTTTGCCCGAAGAGTATTTCGCCAATCGTCTCCTGGCCAGCCTCCTGCCGCTGATGCCTGTGCCGGACATGCGCCTGGTGCGCTTTACCGACAACTCGGGCGAGTGGGCGCTTATCAAGGAACGGACGGCTGCCACGGGATCTGATGCCACTGCTCGTGCTGTTGAAAAGCATCTCAATCGCCCATACTTTGCCGTCATGGAGTACGTGCCCGGTGTGACCCTCGACAAGCTCCCGCTCCGCCCGGACTTTGCTGCCCGCCTCCTCGCCCACTTTGATCTTCCGCCGACGGCCGTCGCCGCCATCTCTGACTGTCCCTTTGCGCCGCGTCAACTTGAGGCTCTCGGATATATGCTTGTCGCCGATCTGCTGACAAACAACTCGGACCGTGCTCCGTTTGGCGAGGTGTGGGACAATGACGGCAACCCAGGCAACGTCCTCTTCCGCGCGCTCGACGGCGTTGTTGTCGCCATCGACTCGGCGGTCACTACGCCTCGCACCTCCTGCGATGCTGATGCGTACATCGCCCGGGTCACCGCTGCCGTCGCCACTGTCCTCGACGCACGCGCCTTGCCGGACTCGACCCGCGCCTTTATCGAGAGCTGCGCCGGCGTCCCGCTCGCTCCGGACGAGGAAGCCGCCATTGTCCGCGGCATTGCTCGCGCCCTCGCGTACCTCACCCGCCGAGTCACCGCCGATGACCTCGTTGCCGCTGATGCTGCTGTCCGCGCCGCTGTTCCGCCCGCCTGCGACTGGGGCGAGGTCTGGGCATCGGGTATGAGCGTCATCTCCACCGACACGCTGCTCACAACCCTCGCGGCGCTCCAGGCCACCTTTGCATCGTCCCCGTTTGCATCGAACAGCTTTCTCTTCCCGATCTCGCTCGACGAGCTCACAGCCTATCAATCGGAGCTCTTCGCGGCTCGCAGCTCCGAATCGGACGCCGCCGCCATCACCAGCGATGGCGCCGTCCACGCGCTCGCCTTTCAAGTCCGCCACATGTTTGCTGCAGACGCCAAAGACGTTATCACCCGCGAGCTCGATGCCATCTTTTCCGGCCGCGGCCCACCGCCAGCCGTCGTCGTCTTTCCCGAGGGCTGGGTGACCGCCTCGCGCAGCGACCTTCAAGCCGAAGCCCGTGGCGCCCCACTCGACGAGCTCCCGTTCATCGCCACCGTGGCAGGTGTTATCCGCCGCTACGGTGTCTATGCCCTGCTTGGGACCCGGATCGAGACCGCGCCACATGGCGCCAGCTATTGCCAGGCCATCCTCCTTGATCCCGAGGGCTGCGTCCTCGCCACGTACCGCAAGCGCAAGCTCGTCGGTGCCTCCTCGCTCAAAGCCGGGTCATCTACCACTGTAGTCGACACCGCCTTTGGTCGAGCCGGCATCCTCATTTGCTTTGATGCCGAAAACCGCGACGTCTTTGACGAGCTTGTCGCCGCGCGGCCTCGCTTCGTCCTCAACCCAGTCCACATTCCGCTCCGCTCCGCCACCTCGTACACCCAGCACATCGCCAACTGGCACATTGGGCTTGTCTCGATGGCCGAGACCTTTGAGACCCGCATCCGTGACGCAGGCATCGCCCTGCTCCGGGTCGACAAGCCACGCGAGGCCTCGTCGCTCGGATCGTCGCAAGCCATCACGCCGGTGGTCACCACCGCCGTCTCCACCATGGCCGAGACAGTGTTTGGCGTCAACCTCGGCCCACACTCTCCGCTCCCGCTCCCGCCGCCTTCGCTCAGCGAGGCCCGAACCAAGCCGGAGCAGAACACAGGGAACCGGATCCTTGTCCGCGGCCTGCATCTTGGAGCCTCGGCGGCCCGCGCCGGCTGGCGGACCGACGTGGCGCCGGCGGCCTCGGACGCTGCTGCGGTCGCCGTTGCCCTCGACGCAGCCAACCGCATCCACCTCTTTGACCTCGCACAGCACACATGGCGCGGTGCGTGGCAGGCCCCTGTTGAGCCGATCGCTCTCATCGTCTCGGGCCTTCGCACGGAGTTTTCGGTCGGCGTCTGTGATGCCTCGGGCGCCTGGCTTGTCGCCTCGTTTGACACGCTTGTTTCCCAGGTGCGCGAAACACTTGTGCTCGACTTTGCTCCGCCGTCGGACGAGCTCCTCGCCTCACTCTCGTGTGCATCTCCTCGGTCCACAGACCTCGACGTCGCTGTCTCGGCAGACCGCTTTGGCATCGAGCTGTCGTCGCCGGCAAGCTCGTCGACCGCCTCCGTCTCGGTCGCGCTCGACGAGCCCATCGCCGGCGCGTGGATGTCTACCCCCCAGCTCGTGGTTGTCCTTGGCTCCCGTCCGCTCTCTCGCATCTGGGTTGTCCGCTTTGAGCGGAACTGCCGCCACACCGATTGGGCGCTTCTAGCCGAGGCGGGACCGCACTAGTTTGGGGTCGGCGCCCCGTGGCTGTGCCCATGGCCGTGCCTGCCCGGCCAATCTTCTCGATGACAAAAGCACACGATACCGACAAGGGTCTTGGTGCCAACGTCCGATTCGTGGGCATGCGGCTCGTTCGAGTGGCCGTGGGCGTGATCATGGCCGTGGGCGCAGCCGCCGCCGTCATGCCAGTGCAAGTGGCCGGTCTCCGCCCCCCCACTTTGCCTGTGTGCTGTGTTGTTCAATTTGAGGCGCGCAACAACGTGCTTGGATAACTGTACTGTGTTGCGGGCCAGGGTTAGTAAACTCGCGACTCGACAGTCTTGGTTGGTGACACGGCAGCCGACGCCGACGCCGATGCCGACGCTGACGCGGCTGCTTCGTCGCCGCCATACTCCGACTCATACTCCAGCGACGGATAGTGGGTGATGATGATGTGGATGCGGGTGTCCTTCTTGTCAAAGCCGAGCCATGAGTCGTTGACGGCGCCACCGCGGTTGAGGTACTTGAGCGAGATGCGACCATGGGTGAGCGCATTCTTGGTTGAGTCGAGGAGCCGGAGCTTGAGCTTGGAGGTCGAGCCGTCGAGCTCGAGCACAAACGACTTGTCCCACACCGGGTGCCGGTCGTCACCGACCACGGCCGGGCCGGCCAGGAAGGTCTGGCCCTGGATGGCCAGCTCGCAGAACGCTGCATCGTCGCCTTCGCTGTTCTCGACATGCAGTGCCTCCACAATCCGCAGCTCAACCGGACCGGTCCACGGGGTCCAGTTCGCCGAGTGCATGTACATGGCCATCTGCTCCTCCGTCGGGTTGGCGATGACCAACAGCTTAACTGCGGTGCTGCTGTCAGAAAAGCCGGCCTGTAGCTCGTTCTCCTCGCTGTCGGCCTTGAGCGACTCGAGCGGGACCTGTCCTGCTGAGATGACTTCGTCGGTCTTGTTATCGCACACAAAGACGGCCAGCGACGTGTCTGCTCCGTCCGACGGAATGAGGAACGCCTCGTTGATCTCGGCCGCCGCCCCGGTCACCGGGCTCGTTCGCACCGATGTCTCGCCCATCTCCAACCGAACGTAGCTGTCGACAGGGAGCTCACTCCCCGACGCTACGAGGACCATGGCGTCGCCTGCCCACTCGGCACTGCTCGACGCCGCGACGGGCGCCGCGGGCGCTGCAAGCGCTGGCTCTGCCGCAGGGCGGTGGGTGATGATGAGATGGACAATGGCCTCGCAATTATCAAAGCCGAACCACTGGTCATTGACCACTCCGTCGCGCTCCAGCATGCCCAGCGGCACGTGACCGACTGCGAGCACGTCATCGCTCCCGTCGTCATCGTCCACAAGCTTGACCTCCAGCGTGGCGTCGCTGCCGTCGAGGACAAAGTCGAACGTTTCGTTCCATGTCGGTGCCTCGGTGTTGTCCACCACGTTGGTCCGCCGCTCCTGGTCCTGAATCGCGATCACGCACCGGGCGTCAGACTTGGAGAAAGCGTCACCCTTGGGCACCTTCTTGGCCTCGACAACCTGGATCCGAGTGAGTCCAGTCCAGGGCTCGGGCGCGGCCGCAGCCTCGGCCGCCAGTCGCGCCTCTTCCTCGGCCGCCAGCCGCGCCTCTTCCTCGGCCGCCAGCCGTGCCTCTTCCTCGGCCGCCAGCCGTGCCTCTTCCTCGGCCTTGGCCTTGGCCGCAGCCTCGGCCGCCAGCCGCGCCTCTTCCTCGGCCGCCAGCCGTGCCTCTTCCTCGGCCTTGGCCTTGGCCGCAGCCTCGGCCGCCAGCCGCGCCTCTTCCTCGGCCGCCAGCCGTGCCTCTTCCTCGGCCTTGGCCTTGGCCGCAGCCTCGGCCGCCAGCCGTGCCTCTTCCTCGGCCTTGGCCTTGGCCGCAGCCTCGGCCGCCAGCCGTGCCTCTTCTTCGGCCTTGGCCTTGGCCGCAGCCTCGGCCGCCAGCCGCGCCTCTTCCTCGGCCTTGGCCTTGGCCGCAGCCTCGGCCGCCAGCCGTGCCTCTTCCTCGGCCTTGGCCTTGGCCGCAGCCTCGGCCGCCAGCCGTGCCTCTTCCTCGGCCGCCAGCCGCGCCTCTTCCTCGGCCTTGGCCTTGGTCGCAGCCTCGGCCGCCAGCCGTGCCTCGGCGGCTGCGCCGTGAAGCACAACGAGCCGGACCATGGCGTCACAGTTGTCGAATCCGTACCACTGGTCGGTCTCGCCATCACGCTCCAGCATGTTCAGCGGCACGTGGCCAACCGCGAGCACGTCGTCACTTCCATCGTCATCATCAACAAGCTTGACCGCCAGCGTCTCGTCGGAGCCGTCCAGCTCAAAGTCAAACTCCTCGTTCCACGTCGGCGCATCAGTGTCGTCCACCACGCTCGTCCGCCGCTCTTCGCCCTGCAGCTCGAGCACACACCGCGCGTCTGACTTGGAAAACGTGTCACCCTTGGGAACCTTCGTGGCCTCAACCACGCGCACCAGCATCGGTCCGGTCCACGGCTGCGACTGTGGCGCGGCCTCAGTCTCGGGCTCGGCCTCGGGCTCGGCCTCCATCGCCGACTCGCCCGCAGCCTCCGCGCCGTGAACGACCACGAGGCGGACCATAGCATCGCTGTCGTCAAAGCCATACCATTGATCGTTGACCACACCGTCACGTTCGAGCAACCTCAGCGGCACGTGGCCAACCGCGAGCACGTCGTCGCTCCCGTTGTCGTCGTCGACAAGCTTGACCGCCAGCGTGTCGTCGGAGCCGTCCAGCTCAAAGCCAAACTCCTCGTTCCACGTCGGCGCATCAGTGTCGGCCACCACGCTCGTCCGCCGCTCTTCGCCCTGCAGCTCGAGCACGCACCGCGCGTCCGACTGCGAGAACGCGTCGCCCTTTGGCACGTTCTTGGCCTCAACAACACGGACCGTGATCGGCCCGGTCCAAGCTGCTGTCGACGGCGACGAACGCAAAAGCGGCTCGGATGCCTTGCGGGCTGCCGCGAGCGTCTCCTCGGTCGGATGGTGGACAATGACAAGATGAACCTCGCCGCCGTCGTCGCCGATGGCGTACCACTCGTCGTTCTCGGCCCCGTCCTTGTCCAGCTTCTTCAGGTCAATGTGCCCGAGCGCAAGCGCATCGTCGCCGTCGCCGTCGGCGTCCTCGTCGTAGAGCGCCACCGCGAGCGTCGAGTCCGTTCCGTCGAGCTCAAACTCAAAGGCCTCGTTCCACACCGGATCTGCGGCATTGCCAACCACCCGCGTCTGCGCCTTCTCGCCCTGGACCCGCACCACGCAGTATGCATCCGACTTGCTGAACGTGTCGCCCTGGGGGACATTGCGGGCAGAGAGGACCCGGACCAGTACCGGACCGGTCCATGCAGCCTGGGCCGCAGCCCGCCGTGCTGCCGCCTCAGCCTCAGCGCGAGCAGCAGCCTCGGCCGCGGCACGGGCGGCGGCCTCGCGGACGGCCACCTCGGCCGCCGCCTGCGCCGCCAGCTCCTCTTGCCGTGCCGTCACACCGCGGAGCTCCTCCTCGGACGGGTCGTGGACAACAATGGCGTCAAGTGCCGCGCCCTTGCGTCCGCCGGTCAGTTTGACGTTACACCGGTTGACCACGCCGTCGCGCTTGAGCTCGGTCAGCTCCAGCACGCCCGACGCGATGACGCCGTCGTCGACCTTGACCACCCGAAAGTCGACGGTAGGCTCGCGGGTCGGCTCCAGCTCAAAAATGAAGCCCTCGTCCCACTCGGCCTCTTCGGTCAGCCGCGTCCGCTGGCGGTCGCCGTTCAGCTCGACCGCACACGCCACGTTGGTCGCCACCTTGGAGGCGCGGAGAACCCGGACAAGAATCCGCCCTGACCACATGCCGGCAAGAAGCGCCTCGTCGATCTGCGCCTGTGTCGGGTTGTGGACAATGTCGAGTCGGACTTGCCCGTCGTAGCCGTCAAACTCAAACCACAGGTCGTTGGACGCCCCGTTGTCGAGGAGCATCGAGACCGGAATATGCCCCACTGCCAGGCTCTTCTTCCCCTTGAGGTCCAGCAGCCGGACGTTGATGACGCCGTCGGTGCCGTCGAGGTCAAAGATAAATGCGTCGTTCCACTCGGGCGTCGTCGTCTTGGTCACCAGCCGGGTTGTCTCGGCTTGGCCCTGGACGTCAACTTTGCACGCTCCGACCCGGCCATTGGTGTACCGTGCCTCGATGACCCGCACCAGCATCTTGCCTTCCCACACCACTTCCTCGCCGGTCTCTGACTCGGCCACGCGCTCCGAGGTGCGGACATGCGCGCCAGCCGGCACCTGCTCGCGCGACGGACGGTGGATGATGGCTACGCGGACCTCGCCGGCGGCCGAATTCTTCTTCCGACCGGCCATGGCCAGCCATACATCATTACGGACGCCACGGGTCTCAAGCCCGCTCAGCTCGAGCCGCCCGCGCGCCAATGGCTTGCCCTTGACCTTGTTTGCCTCATAGAGCGAGACGTCGAGCGCAGCCTCGGTGCCGGCGAGGCCAAACACAAAGGCCTCGTTCCACACCGGCGCCGTTGGCGGGCCGCGCCGCTCGGTGGCAAACGTCACCTTGCCTGCCGTCGCCGTGCAGAGGACCGGCGTTTTGGTCGGCAGGTCGCGAGCCTCGATGACGTTGACCAGCACTGGACCACGCCACGACGCCCGTGCCGCTGCCGCGCGCGCAGCACGCAGCCGCGACCGCGCCGCATGCCCGCGCCACGTCGCCTGGATCCGAGTCGCCGCCGCGTCGGCCTCGGCTGCCGAGACCTCCTCCTCGTCAGCAAAGGCCTCCGGCGCAAGCACAAGCTCGGTCCAGGCGCGGATCTGGCCAGCGTCGGCGTCGAGGTCGACCACCACGTTGTTCCGCCGCCCATCGAGATGCAGCTCCCACAGCGCGATCGAGCCGGCGCCGAGGCACGGGTCCTTGGCGTCGTCCTGTGCGTCAAAGAGCGCGAGGTCGAGCGCGGTTGCGCCGCCGCTCAGCTCAAACACCATGTCGTCGCCGCCAAACTGCGGCGTGAGCGTGTCGCGCGCCACAGGCGTCCGCTCCTCCGCGCTGCCCACAAACGCTACGCAGTACGGCGAAAAGCTGTTGGCGAGGACCTTGCCCGACGCGTCGGTCTCCACCGATGCGCGCGCCGCCGCAGCAGACAAGATGTTGGCCGAGACAATGTGGACCCGCAACTGGCCAATCAGCCGCTTCGGCTCTGGCCCGCTTGCAGTGTCGGCTGCCTCGTCGGCCCGCGCCGCCGGCGATAGAGATAAAGC